AAACGACCCTTTCCGCTTCATCGAGGTGAGTCACATCGCTCAGCGCTGACGAGCTGTTTGCATGTTTTGGCCCATTAAGCACAAATCACATACTCTTTACACCTACGTATTTGAACTTGCCTTTGAGTTGTAGTAAATAGTGTAAAGTCGTTTATGTGAATCAACTTTTCAATGATTAGTAAACGTTAATGTAGATAGGTAGTGGAGTTCATAATGTATTAATGTAGGTGGGAAGTGTTCAGTTTTAGAATAAACAGAGACAAATTTGATGGCAGCTACATTTTTTAATACATATGTACATTACAAAAACAAGTTAACATTTGTTAGACATTCCCAGGCAGTCTTGCTCCTTGTGCATAAGGCTGCAACAACCCTTACTACGATGACCAAATTAATTTATCCATCCTCGTCTTTCTCAGTTCTCATTATCTGATTTAGCAAAAATAAACATTTTGTGTATGATTTGTGTCCAATCATCTGTTTTGTACCTTTTTTCAGGCATACAAGACAACAGGAAAACAGTAAGTACTGCACCAATATTCATTCAGGGCGACAACTAACAATTATTTTCATTATCATGTGCTGATTATTTACTCGATTGATTGATTGACCGCATTGTTTAGAAAATGTCAGAAAGTAAAAAGTTTGTTAAAATTTCCCACAGTCCAAAGTGATCTATTTTGTTAGCTTGTTTTATTTGACAATAGAAAACCTGACATTTCTGACATTTGAAGAAGCTGTGACCATCATGTTTGGCATTTTTGCTTAGAAAATCAAACATTTGGAAATCTAATTTTAAAAAAGCCTTAAAGGGGCAGTCATGTAACAATTGATCATACAACACAAGCCTTCCTTGTGTCTCTCCTCTGCTCATATCACTCCACTAAGCCTCCTTGCCATATACAAGTGTGATAGTACGATAAGTGCAAGTACGATATATAAGTGCCATGGTAATGAACATAATGAGCCTGAAGCTCGATGTGGAGTGGGGACGTGTTCACACACGTTTTTTGTACTGTACGCTGTTGTTGACAAAGGAGGGACGGGCAGTTTTTGGGTGATGGTTTCTCAAACATTGTGTTTGCAAAACTTCAGAAGCCACGAGCTGAAGATATTGAGCTTGACTGAGTCACAGCATGCGTGAGGAGGGAGGCTGTGCAGCGTGTGCATGAGCAGTGATTGACACTGCGTTAGAGACTGCTCCTGGCTCTGATTGGTTGTTTTGGCGGATCCTTGCAAATGGCATCAGGAGCATCAGATTATGTCTAATGTACTACTGTCAGGATATAGTGACAGCAAATATGCCAAAACTGAACCTTTAATCCACTGTGTGTGTGTGTGTGTGTGCTTTTTAGGTGCCGTAGGCAGCTAAGAAAAAACATGTTCTATCCAGAATACGTGGACATGGAGACGGAGGTTCTTGGAGTGATGATGGAAGAAGAAATGAGAAAGTTCCTTGATGAGGAACTACCATGCCACATTGTTGCTGTCATTAGTACCGTGTGTAAGGAGTTTTCATTCATTAAATCATCCTCAAATTTCAGTTTGTCCTGAACGCTGTCATCCCCATGTGCCATGCTCAAAGATATTGCCTGATATTATTCAGTGAGCTCATTAGATTCACTTTAAGCCTTTTACAAAATCAACAAAATGTCAACATTGATTCTACCGATGCGTTTGATGACAAAACTAGAAAGGCTGTAGGCGATGTAACGCTAGATAACGTCTCATTATATAACATAATGGCAAGGCTTGATCTAACAAAAGGATCCTAATGCAAGTCTTTGATAGAAGGCGATTGTTGAATTCAAGAAATACATGAAAAACATGATGAAGTTAGCCCGCAGCCTTTATTATTAGCCTATTTGTTTTTACCGTCATTATTAACTTTCCAGAGAAGAGTAGCCTTCTGCCGGGATCAGTGAGGGATCACAGGAGGAGCCACCAACGTTTTCCTCTGTTCTTTGGACACAACAGTGCCTTTGTCTCCATATCACTGTAAACTTTTTGACAGCATCAATACTCCGCTGGATGCCGGATATGCCGCGGAGACTGTGTCCACTATTTTAGCCCTCTCTCTCTTTCTAATCTCCCCAGTTAAGCATTATGTGGATTTGGATTTCTCAATGGAGGTTATAAACACCTCTAAGTCATCTGAATTGAAGTTCAATCATAGTTGTTGTTTCTGCTCCATTTTCAGTGTATGTTTCATTAAAAGAAACTACCAAAACAGCGATTAAAAGCCCTTTAGCTCGCCAAAATGAGAAAAGTGGCATTGGTTGCTAGGTAACAGACATAAAAGTTGATAACCTATGTTGGATTGAGTATTTAGGATTTCCTAACCTGAGATAAGTTAGGATGAAATAGGATTCCTAAAGTTAGTTAGGATTTGCTTCTGTAATACCAAATTGAGAAAAATCCTAATTTAGACTGTTCCTTTCTTAATTCAAGACTTAAAATAGGAACTTTCTGTAACACGACCCCTGGAGAACAAAAACTGAAAATGCACCAGTGACAAATTATCACCTTATAAAGTAGTTACTGTGAACTTGTTAGCACACAGTTTATAACCTATTTACACATCCTGCAGACACAAAGCAACATCTGCATTTATTTTCATGTTTCTGTCCATCTGATAAATGTAAGCCCCAATATTCCCTCTTTTTAGCTGCTAAATGCTCCAGTCTGTTCACCATCTAGTTGCTAACTGTCTATTTTTAAAATATAAATATAACATAAGTGCAGTTTCAATGTATCATATTTCAGGTTAAAGTGTCTGCTTAATACCAGAGTTCAAGAAGAATTTTTTTTTTTTAAATGTGTACGCTCAGCAGGTCAGCTTTCCGATCTCGAGGAGGAGGAGCAGGAGGAGAATGAGGAAGAGACTGTGGAGGAGGAGGAGGACGACGATGACGACGACGACGACCTCGATGACAGCAGCGTGGAGGAAATGAGGAGCGAGGGGGAGGAGGATGAGGACGAGGAAGAGGAGGAGGAAGGACACGACCGGAGTGAGCTGGCTGATGAGCTTTACAGCCCGGGGGAGGAGGAGGAGGAGGAGGAAGAGGAAGAGGAAGAAGAGGATGACGAGGAAGAGGATGGAGAAGAGGACGACGAGGAAGAGAGAGGGGTCTAACTGAGGACTTGATTTGTGTGTGTGTGTGTGTATATATATATATTTTTTTTTTTTTTTTTTTTTTTTTTTTTTTTTTACACCTATGAAAGCACTTTGGATTTGATCCGTAACTGCAGGTGACTGCAAAAGATGTTAAGGATTTAAACATCTGTGTTAGAGTTGCACCCGTCTTCTCTTTGAATGTCCCTTAAACGGTTAAGAACTCGAGCAGCTAGCCACATTTTGCCTCAAACCCTGAGATGACGACACTGGATGATAACAGAACTTTGATTTATAACTAACTGTGCACTGAGGATCTGCCAATGTGAATCTCATGCTAAACCTGTGTTACATACTCCTGAACTTAACTAAGGTGCTTTATTGTAGAAGCCGTTTGCTGTATACGAACACACACACGGATGTGAATGTATGATGACAGAATGTGGCTGGAAGGACTCAAAAACTTCAAACTAAATTTGGCAAAACGTCTCTTATGCCGGATTTTCTACCACTTTGCAGATTTGATCTAATTTGTTTAGAGAACTTTCACCTGTTCACATGAATTTTTGATACAACAGGTGCTAAGCAGACAGAGCTTCTGAAAGCTTCTGAATTAATTTTCCTTAAATGTCCCAAGCATAGAAAATAATAACACAATATTTTAATTTCTTGAGTTTCCCAGTTTTTCCATCACCATAGAAAGCCTTTTTGACCCGTATCTTTGTAAAGAGGCCACAGTTATGTGACCCGAAGGAGAGCGAACACGCAAGGCTAGAAACAATCTACTTGAATGAGTCCTGCGTGTATGGATTGTTGTGATTGTTTGGTTCATGGTAGAGTTAAACATTGCAAGCCAAAGAGTAAGGATGTGTGTGCGCATGGATACTTTGAAAAGTCTGTTTGCTTGGCATGATGTTAGAAAAAGAAATGCAATGTGTTAATAACAGTTTACATAGGCTATAGGATGACTTTGCTTTTCATAGTTGTGCTTTAAAAGTAGTTATTGCTTTGTTTAAAAAAATGTTGCTATGCACAGTTAATACATTATTCTCTAAATATTTGTTTCAGGTGATGAGGAACTTTGCACTTTACTACAAAAAATGCTATGTTAGGCCTAAAACGTTTGAATGTTAAAAGTCGATTTTTATTTTGATACGGGTGATTTTGTGAGGGGCCAAACTAAAATACTTAATACATAATAATAAAGCCTGTTCAAATGTGCACAGTTGTGTAGTTGTCCTTTTATGAAAAACCCTCCTGTACATGACTTAACTTCAGTTAGATTTGGTCTAGAGGAGGGCAGAGAGAAGGTTTGACTTAAAATGTTACACTACACTTAAGAAAAAATAGTCTGCCTGATAACCAGACTGAACTGCTATTTGACTTTTATTGACATTTCTGTAAAAGACCAGATGTGGGCATTGATTCGGGAGGGAAGAAAAGTGACATAAAAAAAATAAATAATGATAACACCTTTAGGATTTCAAATAAATACAGTCACATACAAATGTAAAGAAACCCCCAATGAGATTTAAGATAAAACATAGATGCAGAATAGCCAGAAGAAATTAAGCATAAATAAATGGCTTTTAATATGAAATGGATGTAAGTGTTTTGAGAAGGGACCTGTCATTTCATTGTAATGTAATTTTCTTGGGATGATCTGGCAGTGGGACATTGTCACCGGGCCAACAGCATCCTCATTTAAAAGCGTTAATTACCGCTATTTTAACACACAGAAATACATGTACTATTATATAATATAAATACCATTACATATGCTGTTGTTATTGAAGAAAATCGGAATGTGGTTTATATGCGGATTTATGCCAAACCCAAACACGACCCGGAACGTTTGTTCCAGCCTGTTTCTGTGACGGTCATAAAAGACGACGGAGCTGCTTCCGGCGTTAGTAACAGTCAGCGCATGTTTTTGCATGTTTTTCTTTTTACTGTAGTTGGATGTAGATAACTCAACGAATCACCCCGCAACACGCAGTGAGACAGAGAGAGGTTGAGCCATGAATCCTGCTTTTCGAAAGGTAATTTATTTTTGTGTTTAACGTCAGTTTGTTCACAGAGGTCACACAGCAGTGATTAACTCCAATGGCAGCATTAGTTACTGTAGAGGCGTCTGAGCCTTTACTTCACCACCGCTCTGTCCGTGTATGTGAAAATATAGTGAATATTCAATGAAATGAAGCACAGGAGAGCAGCTAGCTTCTCGTGTCATCACTCTGGAAAGCTTGGACCAGCAAAACGTAAGAATTATCAATCAAGAAATGACCAATATTATTTATTATATTATATTATTATATTAACTCGTGAAGAAGCTGCTGCAGAAGAGACTGCCATTTACCAGGATTGCAACCTGTCATTCAGTTAGTTTTTACTGATTTTTATATAGGAGTACAAAGGCTAAAAACCTTTAATCAAACGGACTAATAAGCTGAAATCATTGGACATGCTCTGAATACCCAGTTTTCCTTTCTTCTTGTGGGCAATTTGTAGAAGTTGTTTCCCCAACTCACAATAAAGAGTTTAGTTCAGTTCATGTGTAAAGAAAAAAGGTTTTTAGTTTTACAGATTAGCTTGATCATATTCAAAACTAGATTATATTGATTAACTAATGCTCCAAATAAAGATGCTGATGTTATTGTGTTTTTATCCAGATGCAGGTTTCTGTCACACAACAGGCATTTGTGTTAAATCAAGCGCTGACATTATGCCGGTAAGTCTTTGCAATGATTTTTTATATTCTCATTATTGGCCTAACTGACGGCTTTATTGGAAAGGTGTGATGATTGTAGTCGTTCATAACAACAACCAAAGAGCCTCAGGTTAAAAGATTTGAATCTAAAACTTGGGTATCATGTTTACAGTTTTGACCATTTTTTTATTAGATATGATAACGTTTGTGCAACAAAGTAACTGCTGACACTTGGGAAGATTATTTATAAGTGTGTGAGATAGGTCCTCTCTTCCTCATACTATTTCTGACTAATAATTATACTGTTTTATTTTAAGCGCCACACCATCCATCCGGCCTCCTGTTTGGGGTAAGTATTTAAAGATTACTAAGAAAAACAATTGCATGTAAATTTGCACGATAAATCCTGTTATGTTTGTTACTGCGGTCAGAACGATTTTAAATGTATCTTGCATACCAAGATGTCTGGCATGTGTATACAGTATATGTATTTAAATGGGCAATTTGTTTTCTCTTCATCCTCAGCTTCTGTAAATGAAAGACAATACAGATCCATGCCAACTCACGGGATTGGAAGGTGGAGACACCTTTTACCTAAAGAAGCGGTACGACCCTAAAACGAGATTACACTGGACAATTATTATTATTTGTTATTGTTATTTCTGCTGCAAATCCTGCCTCTCAATAGAGCTGTAAGTGTGTGGCTGAGATTAGGCAGAATCATTAAAGAGAATTCAATAACAATGGTTTCTGGCCTTAACAAGATAACATCTAATTATCGATTCCAATTTTTTTGAACACAACGTCAACAAAGTCAATGTTTAAGCTTCAACGTTTAATTTATTCTAGTCAACCAACTCTTGACTTTTAGACCTGAGACTACACTTTGTGATGCAATTTTTAATTCAAACCGGTACATAAGATTGAGATGATCTGGTTTTCTGTCTACCTGATGATAATGCTACCTCATTCCAAAACTACACAAAACAGATTACGGTTTACTGAAGGTTCAGCGATCGTCAAGCAGTAGTCAGGTTTGAACAAATTCACCCAATTTGTTTGCAGCAATACGAACACAACCCATATAGCGCATTTATTTATTGATTTAGTTTACCGATCGGTCAATAGGTCAAGGCAATTGATTTTAAGAGCACCCCCTGCTGGACCACATGGCAAACTACTTCAGATTGTCTGGCTCACGGTCTGTAATTTTTGAATTTGAACAGGTCGAATAGATAATTTCAATGTTTGAATTAAACTTTGAAAAAAAAAAAATTATATCCCTAGCTTGCTGTATGTCTAATCTGGACTAAAGATATAAAACTACTGTATTAATAACGTCATAAATGGCCGTTATAAATAAAGTGTTTCTTGTTTTTTGTTTTTAGCCAAAGAAAAAGAAAGACAAACACCAGATGAAACAAATCACGGCAGCGACGGATACAGCGTACGGGACTCTGAATGTGAAAGTGTCGGGTTATGACATGACAGTGGTGGAGCATTACTCCCAGTACATCCACAACCTCTGCAACCGGCTCGGCATCAAAGTGGCGGAAAGGTGAGGATATTTAGAAAGAGAACAGTTTTTAACAGAAGACGTCAGCAGGTAACAAGTAGTACAAAGATAAAAACAGAAATGAATGTTGTTTACACATGCAACATCTAAATTATCCAGTTGCTTGGAGGAAAAAAAAGCCTGTTATCTGGATAAACTGTAGGCTTGTAGCAGGTGTTTTTGGTGAACAGTTCATTAGAAATTATTCCACATAAATGTTATTCAAAATCTAATTATCTTTCCATGCGTCTATGACTGAAAGATGCTAATTTTGCAAAATTGCGGTGTCTTGTATTCCACTATGGGGTAGGCCAGATATTTGGCACGACACAGAAATAAATACTAACTGTATTCGGGTGTGTGGGATCATAACTCTATGAAAGAATCAAGAAATTTAACACACTGTCAATCACTGGTACTCACTTTATTCATGTTTACATTTCAATCCTTGGAGCTTCATCAAGTCACATTCATACTCAACAGCACATGTATTGTGTATATATGTAAACATATTAAAGTTTTCTTGCAATTGTAAACAAGACTAGTAAGTTTACAGTAATAAAGAGATAGATGTCATGCAGATCATCTGGTAACACTTCCATTTTCGATGCTTCAATTCCTTGATGTGTCTTCTTTGCAGCACAGTAGAAAGGATGCTTTGATCTCTTTAATTGCTGCTTTTCACTCACAGCTATGCTTTGCCAACCAAGAGCACAGAGGTCATGCTGATGCAAGAGCAAGGCACCAAGATGTACGTTGATGCCATCCTGAAGACTCATGAGCGAGTTGTCCAGGTAAAACTCATCTCTTGGAAGTCTCCTTATAACTCCATGCTTTGTTAGTTTCCTGAAGAGTTTTGAAGACCTGACTGTTGCCCCGTGTCATTTATCTTTAGTTGAGCAGTCTGAATGCTGCACTGTGTCCTGTTTTCATGGACGTTCTTTTAAAGAATCAACCAGAGGGAGTTCAGCTCTCTGTGAACGAGGTGAGTTTAGCATGATGACAGCTCTGCCACGTTATGCTGGAGCACATGAGAATTTTTTTTGCCCCAGACCACAGAAAGATGTGGAAAATCAAACAAATCTAAATAGTTTTGAAAATTCTTTGATTTCATGGAAAGACAGATGTAGACAAAAAATACAAAAAGTCAGGTGTGTCCGCATACTTTTGACTATATAGAATAAATGAATGAGATGAACAAAGTAATTCAAATAAAACACCTCTTCATTATGAAAGCCTCGAGTGGTTGAAGACACGACTACATTTAAAGTCAGACAAAATTCCATTTTACCACAAGCAATATCTGTCTTTTTTTTTTAATCGTAATTATTGATTATATACAACCTTAAAGTAAAACATTTTGTGGTTATTTATTTTTATTTAGTGTTTAACATGTAAGTAAAGATCTCTCCGCCTCTCCCCTCTCTGTTTTCCTCTCAGCACACCGAGGCTGATTTTCAAGCACGGTTCAAGGGCCGTCCAGAGCTGGAGGGGCTCATCGCTCAGATAAGCCAATAGGACCTCAGACGTTACGCCTCATTAGCAAGGAATCCCTGTTTGATGGTGTTTATTTATTCCTCAGTTGAGTGCTGTTAAAGGTGATCATTTGCATTGAAATAACTGTACACATTCATGACGTTTTTTGCCTCTTTTTTTCCAGTTTAAGACATGTCATATTTAAAGCTTCAGTTCTGATCCTTGATTGTAAATGTTATGCACAAAAGTTATAAATACATGCTTGTATATGAAAACTAGAAACGTATTCTTTGTTTATTTTGGATAATTTGCTGCCTATTACGGAGGCTATGAAGCTTTTGTGTACAGTGAGAAAGCTGAGACCAAAAGTGGAAAGTAAAACAATGATCCGGTGTAATATTTGTTTAGGTTTTAAATAATCTCCACCATGTTTTCACATTATTATGCTCTTGAGAAAACAAAACTTTGTTGTAGCGCAGTTTATAAAAAAAGATGCAACAGAGTGAGCAACACAAAAGAAAGTATAGACAAAAGTAGGAACATTAAAAAAAGTGTTTTTTAAAAGACAACATAATAGCCTAAATGAATAATTAGGAAAACATGCTGCAAAATAAATCTGTAGAAAAGAAAGTGAATCTAACAACTAATTTACACGACAGGTTAAAGTGGAGGACACACGTTTCACAAGGACAAAATCTAAATATTTCACCTACATTCTAGTTATAAACTATGTTGACCATACAAATCTACAACAATAACCTTTGTAGATTAAAACAAACAAACATTATTGCTTCTCGTGTTACGAATATCATTTTAATTAGAGGCCACCTGTTCTTTCCTTAAAATGTTCCTCTAATTGTTTTGGTCACAAGTGGACAGACAAGATGAAGACACAATGTCACCACATCCTAATGTGCCTCATGAAATTGTTTTGGCCGTTGTGACAGGTAGAGTACTGTGGGGGTTCATCAGATTTTTTTGTTTGTAAAGTGCTGCTTAAGACTTAATTATGCTGTAAATGTGCCTGAAAACCTAATGAATAACCTGTAATAGAGGCACAACATCTTTGAGAGTTGGATTATTTTAAGTTTTGGCACTATTACGAATCCCTTTTGTCTTCCTGTACGTTCGCATTAGTCTCAATGTTAAACTACTGTGTAGAGATCACCTGTGAGCTTAAATAATAACATAAAAAGAAAAAAGTTTCAGAAAGACCAAGTGAATTGTAATCAAGTTACGAACCGAGTGGGACTAAACTTCTCTGGTGGTCAAACGATGCAATGCGGACACCGTTTTCCTAAATTACCTCAAACATATCTTTTTATGTTTGAGGTCAAACATAAAAGGCATTTCTGTTTGGTTTTTTTGGCATTTCTTTTTTTATCAGCTGTCTTACTTTACATATATACATACACACACACACACACATATATATATATATATATATTTAAATTTTCCATTTCCCATGACGTTCTGTTACTGAAACATCTACCAAAAACTTTGATGGCAAATCGCTGACACTCAATGACAAGATAACAGAAAGGGTCAATTTGTTTTTGAAGACAATCAACACATCATAGTGATTATTTCATTGCCGGCTGATTTTGTTGCTCAATGGTATATGGCAAATATGGAATATTATGCAATAAAGAACAATATAGTGGCATTTACAATATATTTTATGCTGGAAAGCTAGGGTGTTTTCAAGTGTGCAACATTTATGTTACAGTTGTGAAAGTTATGCACTCTATTAATAACATGTACTAAAATATACACAGAGGAACTAGATATTTAGGTAACATACTATAGATAAAGTTATAGTATGTTACCCTTCTCACCCTTTTCTTCAGTTTGTGTCTGGATGTCAAAGGCTACAGGACCTCTGATGGTAAATCCAAGATAAAAGGAAACTTGGCGTGGTTTCCAGAGGCTGTTTTGCAGGTTTGCATCCACCTTAATCGCTGTGCCACCAACAGTTGCATAGACTCTGTAGTTTCGTACCTCCCCATCAACTTTGAGAAGGCGTTTTTGGACCTCGGGATCTTTAAAAATCTTCTCATTGTTCCAGTTGTTGCCCCAGTCTTGCATTGTTTCCTTATTCTGCTTTAGAACCAGTCCCTCAAGGACCTTTCTGTGAACAATTCTGTTCAGATCTTGACCTTTTCCAATGGAAAACAGAGGGCGGAGGTACCTTGACCGAAAGTGTGTCTTATATGCATGGTCATACGAGCAGCGCATACACTGAATTAACTGACTAAGGTCAAAGACACATTTCTCTTCAATGTCTGTTGGCCAGTACAAGAGGAGGGCTAACATGTGGAGTTCAGGTGCGTCTTTGGAGGTCAGTGGCATTTTCTGTCTGAATGCAGTTAAAAACTTGCAATTAGAGGGAAATATTGCTCCCACATTTATTAGCATGATATGAGAAAAGATGTAGTTGACCAGAGCTGTTACCGAATCTTTGTATAGAACAATTTCTTCCCACCATGTAGTGACTTCTTTAATCTCTGATTCAGTGTATTCTCTGTCAAGACATGAGAGTACGCCAGCAGAGGTGTCTGCCTGGTTTTGTTTAAGCTTCTGGATGAGATCAGCACCTTTTTGTTTTAAATGTTTTGGTGGAGATTCTCCGACATACTTCCTGTAGCAGTCTGAGGTGTCTCTAGAAATGTACAGGGCATCGTCTTTCTTCATGTCAGGCTTTGAGTAGGTCAGAAATTTGTCAAAAAAGGCACATTTTCTCTCAACCTCGTCTCTGAGACTGTTAATGAGGTCGTTAAATCTGTAGAGTTTGTTGTCTCCAAGTAATCCCAGGACAGAGCCCATGGACACCTTCTTTGTGAGAACTCCTCTCCAGGTTTGGTTTTGACGAACAAGTAGGTCAAACACAAGGTTGCAAACCTGCAGGTAACCAAACTGCCCTCTGGTGTTAAAAGTATGTGAGACTTTAGTGTTGCCATCTTCTTTCATGTCTTTACCGTGTTCATTTTCAGCAAGTTCTTCTTCATCTTTGAAAGCTTCAATGGCTTTTGTGGCCAGTTGCAGAATTTCTCCTGGTTTGACAGGACGCTCTTTGTTCTTCAAACAGTTCTTCTAGACTTGTCCCAGTGTATCAGCAACAAATGAATTTTGGGGATCTCTTTCCTTTGCTCTCTTTGCCCACATTTCTGCCTTTTTGTAGTCTTTTATTTCTATATAATAGAAACAAGCAAGTGCCTGAGGATAAAATGGATTTTGATCAAATTGTTTTGTTGCCACCTTTAAAACTGATGCACACTGAGCCTTGTCCTCCATCTTTTGAATGTCAAGAATTAGTTTAGAAAACTTTTCTTTGCACTCTTCACTCTCTGTACTTTTGGTTGGGTCCTCTTCATGTTTCATTTCTTTTGGTCTTCTTTTGGTTAACATGTCTTTGACAAAACCAAGCAAAGATGGAGGAACCTCATCGCTGCACAAACAGGTCAGGAGGTTTCTTGTTGTGTCACTTCTGGTCACACCTGCCTCAGCCATCATCTCAGTGCAACACTTTGCTATCATAGGGTGAGCCATGCAGACTCTTTTTTCAGATCTGGTATCTCGTTGGAAGGTGATGATGAGATCACTAAAGGGCTTCATTCTGTCCTCCAATGAAAGGTCTCCATGGATGGAGTCTTCACATTCCACAAGTCCAGGCACTGAGACTCCAGGAGATATGAGCCTGGTACATAGGCATTCAGCAGGGACAGGAAGGCAGCAAGCTGGGTCTTCTGTGATTTGTCTGCTCTCTTGATTGTTTTGAATACAGCACAGGCCTCCTGGATGTAAGCCTGGGAGAAATTAGTTTGCAGCTCCTCCTTTTTCTCATTAAACCTTTTCTTCTCTGACTCAGAAAGCACTTCCTGGAGGAAAACATGGTCACTCTGTAGAACTGCATCCTTTCTAATACAGCTGAGGAAAATCACAACAGGCATATGGGTGACTATCTCCTGTTCAGCAATCTTCATTGTAATGATGTTCTGCAGATCATCCAAAATTAACTCATCATTCAGTAACAGCAGCACAGTATTCTGGTGGCCTCGACTGCCAGCTGTGAAAAGGTGGACCACCTCCTCTGCAACATCTGAGATGTTTGAGGTTGAGCCTGTTAAAGCAGCACACCTGAAGGTTTTCCGCAAGTCCCACAACACCTGCATGGCCAATGTGGTTCCCCCACATCCTGGCTGGTGGAACAGTTTAACAGTTGATGTTCCAGAGAGTTTTCTTCTTTGGCGAATTTGTTGCACAAGTGTATCGTATCCATCTCGTTTAATAAAAGGGCTTCCAGTGCCATCTGACTCTGCCTGTTCACTTATGTGAAAGTTTAACCATTCAGGTGGGGCTCCTCGGTAAAAGTTTTCCTCTGTCTGCTCAAGATATTTTCGATGGAAAGACTCTCCTTCAAAATGATTTGCATAAAGAATATCCAAGAGTGAGAGGGAATCTCTGAATTCGCTTCCCGCGTAAATTTCACGACTTCCAGCAGTGGACAGGGCTGGTCTGCTGGCCATCTTGGACTTTCAGTTTCCTGTAGCTACTATATCTATAAATAAAAGAAAGCCATATTTTAAATCAGAGGGTTTGTAGATTTTGATTTTTACATACAAAGCAGATCAACACACAGCAGGTTTGTGTTAAAGTCCAAGAATTTATAACTTTAATTTAACTTATTTGAGGTGAAAAGGTGCCTACGGACGAGATCAGGATCTCGTAATTAGAGATGACTGGAAAGGTGCCATTTCTGAGTTCAGGTAAAGTTGGAAATAGATTCACAGATTTGAGCTTCCGGGATCAATAACTCGTAAGCAAAACGTGCTTAAAACACTAACGACACCTCTTTATTATCGTAGTTAAGTAGACAACGAGCTACAAGTACATTTTCACATAAATGAGTCTTCCTAGGAGCAGAACAAATGACATTGGTCTCTACGTGCAGCCGGCTGTGAGACGAGTGCGCAGGGACCAACACCGAAAACACATTCTGCAGAGATATTCAATAACTTCACACTTACACAATATAGTGCCCCCAAAATCACCTTACACATTAATGATATACTGCTGGTTATACTACAACACCTTGTTTAGGGTAAGACTTTTGCATACCTCATATTAGGTAGGTCTATTTTCAATATTCAATGACTTCACTTTCAAGAGTTTTAGTGTCTCAAAAATCACCCCACAAATCATTGATATCCTGCTTGTGATACTTCAGCACTTGTAGAAATATAGTTTTGCATAATTTTGGAGAATTTCTATCTTCAATAACTTTACTGTTATAAGCTGTATTGTCTCCAAAATCACCCTACATGTCAGTGATCTAATGCTTGTGATACTACAATACTTAGTTTGTAGAAATATAGGCTTGCATAATTTTGGGGTAGTGTCTCCAAAATCACCCCAATTATCAATGGTCTCATGTTGAGAATAGGTGCCACCAATAAGGCAGACAGAAAACTTCCCCTGAACACTTACGTAATGAAATAGCGTCCCCGAACACTTTAAAGAACTTTACATCGTGTCCGTTTGGGAACAATCAGGGAACATTATAAGGCAATGTCCTTGACACCAGCAGGAAAGTTATCAAAATGTTCTAGGAAAGTAAAATGTCTAGCTGGGTATCTGTATAACAGTGAAGTTATTTAATATTAAAATCCCCCAAAATTACCTCAAAGCAAATTTTTTCAAACAAAAGTGTTGTAGTATCAGCAATAGAAGACCACTGATGATTGAAGTAATTTTGGAGACACTACTGCTTATAACATGACATTTATTCATTTAGCACACACTTTTATCCAAAGCGACTTACAATCGCTATATATGTCAGAGGTCGCACGCCTCTGGAGCAACTAGGGGTTAAGTGTCTTGCTCAGGGACGCAATGGTATCTCACAGTGGATTTGAACCCGGGTCTCTCACATCAAAGGCATTTGTCTTATCCACTGCCCCATCACCACCCCCTAGCAGTACCAGTAAAGTTATTGAATATTAAAATTCCCCAAATTATGCAAAACAATATTTCTAAAAACTAAGTGTTGTAGTATCACAAGCAGGATATCAATGATTTGTGGGGGGATTTTTTGAGACACTACAGCCTTTAACAGTGAAGTTATTGAATATTGGAAATAGACCTACCTAATATATGGTATGCAAAAGTCTTACCCTAAACAAAGTGTTGTAGTATAACCAGCAGTATATCATTAATGTGTAAGGTGATTTTGGGGGCATTGAATTATTTGAATTATTATTGAATATCTCTGCAGAATGTGTTTTCGGTGTTGGTCCCTGCGCACTCGTCTCACAGCCGGCTGCACGTAGAGACCAATGTCATTTGGTCTGCTCCTAGGAAGACTCATTTATGTGAAAATGTACTTGTAGCTCGTTGTCTACTTAACTACGATAATAAAGAGGCGTCGTTAGTGTTTTAAGCACGTTTTGCTTACGAGTTATTGATCCCGGAAGCTCAAATCTGTGAATCTATTTCCAACTTTACCTGAACTCAGAAATGGCACCTTTCCAGTCATCTCTAATTACGAGATCCTGATCTCGTCCGTAGGCACCTTTTCACCTCAAATAAGTTAAATTAAAGTTATAAATTCTTGGACTTTAACACAAACCTGCTGTGTGTTGATCTGCTTTGTATGTAAAAATCAAAATCTACAAACCCTCTGATTTAAAATATGGCTTTCTTTTATTTATAGATATATATAGATATTACGACATCTTATCTCGTTATTATGACATCTTTTCTCGTAATTATGACATCTTTTCTCATAATTACGAGATCCTGATCTCTTATGAGATAAGGCTTCCAATTTTGTTTTTCTTTGGTGAATGCAATGCGCTTCCTTAGGGTGCCACATGCCCCATGCAAAAGACACAAAAGACTGAAACACGCCTGCATGTGTGCTGACTCAGCAGGGAGTTTTACAAAATTAGAAAAGTTAATCTACAGGCGATTGTTCACTTGGGTCTACTAAACTAGCAGTAATAAAGTTAAAAACAAAGTTTTGGTTATTGTTGTATTAGTTGACTACTCTGTAGAAACGGAACGTTTTCTCTCTCACACGCAGACAGTGACTCCCACGCCGACTTCCGAAGAAAATGTATTCGGGCAGCCTTAATTTAGGCCTATAGAGGTTTTGTAGGCTATATGATGTAGCCTATGATGTAAAGCCTTGCTGTCCCAAACTGCCATTGATATGTGATGTAGTTTTGGTGACACCGCACTGTATGAGGGAAGTTAGCCGCTACCACCGGCAAATAAGATGGACTTATAGGCCTATAGGTTAAATGGTTACAATAATTTTAAATTAAATTTCTTAAAATAATTAAAACCGACCTTAATTTTATCTTCAAACTGTAGAGCTGTTCCCCATAGCGTGGTGTGATTCCTCAGCAGGATTTTTCCCCATCTGCATTTCCACAAATCCCACCAGCTTTGTGTCAAATCCTCATCCCCTACTCGGTCTCAGAGTCCTTCTTCTTCTTCTTGCGACAGGGCTGAACATTATCACCAACTGTCATGAAGAAGAGATGCTTTGTGAAAAGTTGTTTTTGGGTCCATGTGTCTAAACCCTCTAAAATTTCAGTCCGTTCATGTGCATATTTTGAACAGAGAAGAATTAGGCATGATGGACAAGTTTGATCAAAATGCCTTCCTTCCACATTCACCACTGGGGAGAAAAAAATATTTTTTCCCATCTAACTGTCAGGGGTTGTTGAGTGCAGCGGCAGGAAACACAGTGGACCCAAATGCAGACAGAGGCGAGGGTATTGCAGTCCAACAAAGATTTATTAACCACGTAAAGTAGGCTTATACTGGGAGCTCAGTGGCAACTGTCCAAGCACAGCTGAAATACATCAGGTAATCAACAACAGGAACAAAGCTCCACAAGAACACAAGGCACAAAAAAATACAAAATAAAACAGGAAGTAAAGTACTCGGGAACACACGAAGACAGATCTATCTAAGTAAAACACAAAACATGGAAAGATTGCAAAATCAGGGCATGGACAGAGACCAGACCAAACAGGAGACATAAGACTAAGGACTAAGACACAGACCAAAATAATAAAACATAGAAGTACACAGACCAGGAACTAAACATGAATTAAAGCACAACTAAAAAACAGGACTAAGAGCTAAGATAAGAGACAAGACAGATACTAAGAAACTTAAACATGCGAATGAACAAAAGACTAGATTAAACTACAACATTTACAAGATCAAATAAAGCTTGCAGAACACAGAACACAAAACCAAACCTATGAAAACAGACTAAACAGGAAAAATATGAAGACACAGCCAAATCCTAACACTAGCAGCCTATAGCCTATTCTTTCTTTCATCATCTTTTCCATGATCTTGCATGAGGTGCTATTATCTGGACAGTCAATCCTAGTAAATTTTATTCCAGCAAAGTGGACTTCTCTTCATCATCATTCTACTTTGAAGTTTATTTTCTTTCTTTTTCTCTGATTTTTTTGCTGCTGCTGCTTCCAAACTCATCAAACTTTTCACCAAACCCTCATACTTACATACTATTTAAAGCAATATCAAACAACTAATATATCTTAAAATAACAGCTTTAAAATCATTTTGATTGTACAGTGACTTGTAATAGAGAGAATGGTGCGTCTTTCATTCCCACTCTGACCCTCCAAATTGCCTATTCTTGCACAATGTAACTTGGATTGAGCGAGTAGCCTACCATACTCTGCTAGAAGTGCATAATACTTTACCACACTACATCGCACATGGGTCTTGCTTATTCTCAGTACAGACATCATCTTAAATTAGTATGTAATTTTACCTTGCTATGCAATATAATAACACACTTTTAGTGGCACTCTTAGCCGCCGTAAGGGACTAAACACTGACAGAAGAAAAATACGGCCATACGCTAAAACTCAGTTCCTCTCAAAGATCCAAGTTCAATAATTAATTCTTCCACTTAATCAGACTAAACCAAAAAATTACCGTGTAAGCGAATAGATGTGTGAGAACGGTCAACAGAAAGTGTTCACTCCCAGGCTCTCCCCCTCTGTCTGTGAAACTCAAAATAAATAAATTACACATCACATCCGCCTGACCGCCCATTACCTACATCAGTGCAGTTGATACTATGAATATGAGACGAAAAACACAACACACACAGGAGACCTCCTACAACACTTATATTTAACTGGAGTATATTTATTGTTGCAGGAATAAAACTTGATAAAATGTTTAAAAAAAAAAATTACAAGACATCTCTAGGAGAATACAAATCTCAGGAAATGTTGCATTTATAGATGTTCACAATCGTAAATTGCTGATCAGTTTGGCTGATGAGAACTTAAAAATAGTAGGCCTAAATAGACAATCTTATTCTTGTCTGTCTATATGCTACTTCCCATAAAGGTGTGCTCATTGAATGGGCTCTCGGCCTCCCCCATACAATAACATTCCTAGACGTGTATACTCTCTGATACACCTAGGGCAAGATGAGCTTTGCTCTCTTAGCACATGAATAAGCCCAATTTCTGAATATATACACACATACATATACATATTCTTGTATTAAAACCTTTATTATAATAATGTATACAGTTAGAGGAATTCCTATGAGAATTAAGGTATTCATGTAATTATGGTGTACACATGATGTCAACTGCTGCAATGAATTAATTACAGGTAGAGCTGGACAGGGAAACAATGGTGTCAAAGAAAATAGAGAAAGTTTAGGAAAGGAGAACCTTGCAATAAAGCCCATAAAAGGAGGAGCAAAAGAGGTGTATAAAAGTGAGCCTGATCAGTTGCTCCCTGGAACCATCTCAGATTTACAGATTGTTTTTTTTTTATTTATGTATTATACTTTTGATATTACATTAAAACCTACATCATATTTAAGCTTCTCATTTGTTTGTGCTACTTTATGACATAAGTGAACAGAGTGGTAGGGGACCTAACATCTAGCCCAGAGGAGGTTTTCTCCCAAAGTAAAATAAAAGTAAAAAGAAAAATATCAATGTCAATATAAAAATAATTCCACCTGTTTTTATTTTAATTAAAACTCAACTTGCTTTGATGAATCCATGTCACATTATTCTGGTCTTAACATTTAGTTGAAGGGACCCTGAGTTTTTGATTGTACAAATACAACAAAACAACAAAATAAAACTTCAATCAATTCATCATACATGTCTTACATTTTCAAATCCTGAAGTCAAGCACATTACAGCAAAACTACAAGTCAACATCAAGACATGTGGTTTTCCTTACAAACTAAATCTACACTCAAAATCTTTGTAACTGTCCCATACAATTTAAACATTTTAAAAACACAAGTGTGTCCTTTACATTGGTTTTGCTTGACCCATCGTGCTTAATGTAAAACATTTAGAAGAAAACAATGACATATCAAAAGACATGTATTAAAAAGTGTATTTATTTCCCACTGAGAATGCACATTTCTTTAGTCTTAAGAGGTTTCATATTTTCGTGTTTCATAAACCCATAAAAAATGTTCAGAGCTTACAGTGGTTTCCCTAATGAAGTCACTCTTTTACTCTGACGTGTGTGTTGTGCAATATATAAATGAAAAGCATTCCTTTTCACTTTGCTGTTTGACCAGTTTGACCAGAGGATGCAAATCATTTGCAGGATAACATTTTGTCTAACTCTCCAGTCCACTTACTCAGTGTTTATAAGTATATAAATATTAAATGAAACCTCTTTCTTTATAGTTAAATCACAATATATTTTATGTCAGAATATACACTAAGCTTCTTGTTGTCCTCTCCTGTGCCATCATTAAATTTCACATTCAGTTTGTTTTTTGTCATCTAAGCGACAAATGTCCACTTACTGTCCGAAGCTACAACCAGATTCAGATTCCTCAAGCTCAAGGATGAGAGCCCTCAAACTTCTCATCCCTTTAAGGATTTTATAGAGAGCGTCTTTGGCTTTTGCTGTAGTCAGAAACTTAAGAATGTCCCTCATCTGGTCTTGTGTGGTTTCTTTAGCTCTTACAGCATCATAGTTCTCATTTGAGATCAGCCCCCTTTCAATGAGCTTATCCAGGACGGCTCCGATGTCGCTCACTCTGTTAATGAGAGCTGTCCGATGGCGATCCACAAAATGCTGACCTGAGGATGACATGGAAGATAAAAACAAAGCAAACACACAGTGAATACCAGATGTTCAAATGGTCATAAGTGGAAATTCTAAGCAGAGGGTAGCAATGGGGTTTAAAATCACTATGTGAGGTCATCTTATCATTTCTGACTCTTATTCTTGCATATTAAACGTGTTTTCTTACCATCTTCATGATCAGTGCTTTGAGTTTTGTAGTCTCCTGCAATAAAATACGGATCACAATGCCAATTAGTTACTGGATATAGCTTATGTCTATCTTTTACATTAAAGTTCGAGTCATCTGCTTTGCTGAACTGTACACATTTAGCTAAACAGAAGAAAGGGTGTACATAATATAGTGGGAGCACAATTTCTTTTTTAATTCCTCAAAAAGAAACCACTCACCTCTTCGAACAGTGCAGGCCCAGACAGTGTCCTCTTTACTATTTCTCCTTTGTTCACTTTCAAGTTTCAGGTCAAAATCACTGTCTGCATTTCGGATACACACCTCAGAGAAATTGGGTTTCTCCTCTCACATGTGAGCTTTAATGTCTGTAGATGAAATATTGTTTTAAGGGCATTTGATTTTATTCCTGTTCTTATTTCGGTTTCAGTTGTAACAGTACATGCTTTTATGTTTTTAAAGTGGGAAAAAAATATCCTGTGTATAGGGTTGTGGGGGGCTGGAGCCAATCGCAGCTTGGTCAAACACACTAATTTTAAATAATTTATTCAGATCTTTGATATTTGTTAAAATGATCCCAATTATTAAAACGGTTAAAACCTCACTTCAGGATGAATTGTAGCTGTGTCCGTATCTGTTGTGAGAAAGAAATTATCCAGCATCTGAAGAGACTTCTCTGGGCTTGGTTTTGGGATTATTATTGATCCATAAGATGTCTCCTTCCTCTCCACTTTCTGTGAATAAAAGTAGAAGCCCTTAGTAGCCAACACTGATATATATTTTTGAAATACAATCATAATGGTTTTGGTATGTCTTTACAATTCTCCAACATTTCCAGCTGCGTAGTTGTAACTTCTTGCAATAGTTTGTATTAACTACTGTGAAAAAAATGAAACAATAACCTGTTGTATATACTGATCAGGTGGGACCAGGTAAACATGCAGTGTGAGGAATTCCTTTTTTGTCTTGTATATTAACACGTCACAGTAAACCTTTACTGGGAAGCCCAGTTTCATCATGACCCCCCTTGGAGAGAAAGTTGTCTGGTGTAACTTGACGTGGGACGATGTCACATCAGACACTTGTTCCACAATATCACCACAGGTATCCATGTGTAGAACTGCAAACATGTCTGACGTTGTAGTGTCGTGATCTGAAAAAAACAAAAACAGTATTTTGTGAGGAGAAATACATACAAAGGATTGAACTGTTTTCATCATACATTTATGTTCACCTACCTATCCAGTGTGGCAGATGCAACTCCTCAAAGTTCCCAGCTGTGACTTTGATGTCCAGTAGGGGTCCTGCTGGCATGTAATCCATGCATGAAGGCTTCTCTCTTTGTTCATCCCATGAACAAAACTGATACTTGAAGCTGGCCTTGTCCTTACAAACCCAGCGCAGGGCAGACACACTGCATTCATACTGACCTGCCTTGGACTGTAGGCTAAGGAGCGAAAGGGAAAACAAATGGATTTGGATCTAGGATGGACTGAAATATCGAATTAAAGGGAACGCTACACATATTTTATGTAGTCTATGTAAAGCATTACTGCAGTGACATCTAGGGGTTGAAAGTGTGTTGCACACCAAACCTTAGTTCGGTGTGGTTGTACCGTACCAAATGTGAAGTATTCCAGTACTACACAGGGTGTGGGTGTGCAGAGCATGCAGCTAGCACAGCCATTTAGATTTGTTTATCTTAGGTGTCAATAGCGGGGCCCACACTCACCATAAATGCCATTGTTTTCTTTATGCCACTTTTCTTTCTTTTTTTTCCTGCTGTGGGGTATGCATATTTTGCTTTGCTTTGCTGTTATGGTTCTTTAGTGCTGTGACATAGTAAAATGTAATCTTTACCTATAAATCTGAACCTCATCCACTTTTTTGATTTTGGGTTCAAGTTTAGTCCAATCACTGGAGTCCTGTAACAGAAAGCAAACATTTTGTTGTAAATAGTTTTATAATAATAACGGTTAGATCAGTTGTTTTGCAAAGCAAACAGAATAACTTACCGCAACACCACCACATGATCCTAGCCTCAAGATTCCCAAAGGCCCTTGTTAAGACACATTGGTAAACAGTAAAATCATTACTTTTGAACATTCTCTGTCACCACTTCAATGTGATGTACTTTATGCAAATCGACATATTTTCATAGTCAATGACGCTGATTACGTAGATGAATTGCCCCACTCCTAGTTGCCTGTTTTGGATGTCTAGGGTCCAAACTCAAAAGTCCCTGCAAAAGTGTTGGAACAGTGAGGCAAATTCCTTTGTTTTTGTTCAAAAGGTGAGTATGAGACCAGAGTTCACAATTTCATCTCTCATTTCCTGATATTCATAGCTAGATATGTTAAACAAATCAGGACATACCACCCTTTGTTTGAACCCACTCATTTTGCAAGTGAGCAAAACTATTGGAACATATGACTGACAGATTTTTCTTGTTGCCCAGGTGTTGCCTTTTAGGTTGATTGTCCAAACTTAGAACATGACTAGTCTAAGTTTCCATCCTTGGTTCAAACCTATAAAGACTGCATTTCCTGTTAAAGAGGATAAACCAACATGAACACCAGAGAGCTGTCTGTGGGAGAAAAGCAAGCCATTGTCAAGCTGAGAAAAGAAGGAAAATCGACAAGAGCCAGTGGACAAACGTTGGGCGTAAGAAGCACAACAATTTGCTCACGTCCTGAAAAAGAAAGAAACTACTGGTGTACTGAGCAACAGACGTCGAACAGGTCGGCAAAGGAAAACAACAGTAGTTGATGACAGAAATATCGTGAGAGCTGTGAAGAAAACCCCCAAAACATCAGTAAGTGACATCACCAACGACCTCCACACTGTTCGAAGAAGACTCAGAGCAGAAATATAGATCAATAGATTTTTGGGTTAAATAGGTGAAAAGGCTGTTGCAATAATCCAGGCGTGATGAGATGAAGGCATGTAAAATGGTCTCGGTGTCCTTAAAAGTTAACATAGATCGAATTTTTGCTATATTTCTAAGTTGATTGAACAAGCTTTGTGGTGTGCTGCTCGAAATTTAAATTACCATCAAACCAAACACCAAGGTTCTTTGCCACAGGCTAAATGTGATTTACTAGCGAACCAGCAGATGGCAGTATTTGATTTGCCATCTGCTGAGACCCGATGACCAGGATTTCTGTTTTGTCTGAGTTCAGCTGGAGGAAATTATTTGACATCCATTTTTTAACTTCACAAAGGCAGTTGTTTGAACTCAGCATTCCAGGATCTGTGGATCTGACGGGCAAGTATATTTGTGTGTCATCAGCATAAATATGAAAAGAAATGCCATGTTTATGGATAATATGTCCAAGGAGAAGCAGATACAAGGAAAACAAAATGGGTCCTAAGACCGACCCCTGAGGCACACCATATTTAACTGGACAGAACGAGGAGACATAGTTGTTTACAGACACGCAAAACTTATTAACCTATTTGACAGGTAGGATGAAAGCCATTCTAGGGCAGTACCAGAGATCCCCACCCAGTGCCTCAGTCTGTCTAACATGATGTTGTGATCAATGGTGTCAAAAGCAGCGCTAAGGTCCAGGAGTACCAGGACTGAGAACACACCTTCATCAGTATTAAAAGGTCATTGGTGACTTTAAGCAGGGCAGTCACAGTGCTGTGGTACTTCCTGAAACCAGATTATAACTTTTCAAATAATGTGTTATTTTCCAGTACAGTGAGCAGCTGTTTGGACACAATTCTTTCTAAAATCTTTACAATAAAAGGCAGTTTTGAAATTGGTCTAAAATTTTGTGGGAGGGAGGGATCTAAACCAGGTTTCTTTAAAAGTGGGTTCACGCAAGCCATTTTAAAATAATCAGGGACACAACCAGTAGATAGGGAGCTGTTGAAAACAGAGATCAAATGGGGCCCAACAAAATCCATTACTTTCACTAAAAACTTTGTAGGTATTACATCAAGTGGGCTGGAGGACACTCATTTGTGGTACTGTTTTTAAAAGCTCAGACAAGTCGATGGGATAAAACTGGTTAAAAGTACCTTTTTACTTTACACAAACTTTAGTGCAATGGAGCAATGTGCCACAACAACCACACTAGCACATTAATCCATGGGACTGTGTTGTCAACAATGTCCTTTTTCTTCTGTGTTTATATTTTCTTCTTGTGAAGTACAACATGTCAATACTTCTCAGGTTCTTGTTGATGTGTTTTGTGATGTGTGATTCCTTTTGTGATGTTTTTGTGAAGCAACTCTGCACAGTGCCCAAGCGGAATTTCCCCTTGGGGACAATAAAGTTAACCTAACCCAACCTAACCTAACAAGACGGGGGGTTGAGATATCGAGCCTCAACAGACAGCTGAAGTAGCCCAAAGGAGGGGGTGAAAGGTTTGCTTCACTCACAAGTGCTGTTTGGGCAGTTTTGACCATAACACCTACCACCTCCGGTGAAGTTGAGATAACAGACTATGCATGACTATTAAAATGACAATATTTACCTTGTCCAGAACTAACCTCAACCTGAACCAGGCTGTGAGGACCTCAGTGACCATAAACTAAACAAACTCTGACTGCATCACACATCCAACACACACAAAGGCTGCCCTCCCATTTTCACGCTGAAACTGATAAGAAAAGCTAGTTACCTCGAAACATCAAAGAACCCTCTCACTATTCACACCCAGTTGTGAAACTAGTGAGGAAAGCCAGATGCCAGGAAAGGAACAGCCTCAAATTCCTTTGTAGACAAATAAATGTGGTCTCCTCATAAACCTTATTATTACCTTGTTTGAATTAAATGATCTGTAAGTTACTTAGTGGCCTGACACTTATATTTGAGTATTTCTATTACCGTGTTCTTGTTAGAAACTGTGTTGAAAAGAAGAAACCATAAATAAGTTAATTTTGCAGTGCTCTTTAATCTTCAATGCTCACCGTTATTCCTGCATTTAATTTAAGTTGTAACTAATGCTTTGTTCCAAGCACCTTTATATACTTTCTTTATAAATGATATGGTACACAAATATTGTCATGTGTTAAATAACCATCTTTTGCTCATGACCCAAAGATTGAGATAACTATAAGTAGATAGGTCAGAGGATTCCCAGGTCCTCTCATGGAACCAGTGTCCCCCCCAGCGGACAAAAGAAGTATTGCATGCCATTGTTAACTGCCTCTCCTTGTGCCTAATTTACATTACTCTGTGTTTTACTGTTTGTAATATGATCCCATGTTCTTATAACTTTCTTATATATTTTCTTATAGTAAGAATGTTTAACAATCAGTATTCTCCTGGATGTTAAGTTTAGTTAAGATGCTCCTTCATCTGAATGAAATGTTTTTTCTTAACTGGTAAATATCATAATTGTTATGTACAATTTACTATTTTACACGACAGGTTAAAGTGGAGGACACACGTTTCACAAGGACAAAATCTAAATATTTCACCTACATTCTAGTATGAACTATGTTGACCGTACAAATCTACAACAATAACCTTTGTAGATTAAAACAAACAAACATTATTGCTTCTTGTGTTACGAATATCATTTTAATTAGAGGCCACCTGTTCTTTCCTTAAAATGTTCCTCTAATTGTTTTGGTCACAAGTGGACAGACAAGATGATGTTGTGACAGGTAGAGTACTGTGGGGGTTCATCAGATTTTTTTGGTTGTAAAGTGCTGCTTAAGACTTAATTATGCTGTAAATGTGCCTGAAAACCTAAATGATGATGTAATAGAGGCACAACATCTTTGTAGAATTGCAGAGTTGGATTATTTTAAGTTTTGGCACTATTATGAATCCCTTTTGTCTTCCTGTACATTCGCATTAGTCTCAATGTTAAACTACTGAGTAGAGATCACCTGTGAGCTTAAATAATAACATAAAAAGAAAAAAGTTTCAGAAAGACCGAGTGATACCGGAATTCCAATATATTGATTGATTTTGAATTGTAATCAAGTTACGAACCGAGTGGGACTAAACTTCTCTGGTGGTCAAACGATGCAATGCGGACACTGTTTTCCTAAATGACCTCAAACATATCTTTTTATGTTTGAGGTCAAACATAAAAGGCATTTCTGTTTGTTTTTTTGGCATTTCTTTTTTATCAGCTGTCATACTAATATATATATATATATATATATATATATATATATATATATATATATATATATATATATATATATATATATATATATATATATATATATATATATATATATATATATATATATATATAATATATATATATATATATATATATATATATATATAATATATATATATATATATATATATATATATATATATATATATATATATATATATATATATATATATATATATATATATATATATATATATATATATATACACACACACACACACACACACACACTCACCTAAAGGATTATTAGGAACACCTGTTCAATTTCTCATTAATGCAATTATCTAATCTACCAGTCACATGGCAGTTGCTTCAATGCATTTAGGGGTGTGATCCTGGTCAAGACAATCTCCTGAACTCCAAACTGAATGTCAGAATGGGAAAGAAAGGTGATTTAAGCAATTTTGAGCGTGGCATGGTTGTTGGTGCCAGACGGGCCGGTCTGAGTATTTCACAATCTGCTCAGTTACTGGGATTTTCACGCACAACCATTTCTAGGGTTTACAAAGAATGGTGTGAAAAGGGAAAAACATCCAGTATGTCACAGTCCTGTGGGCGAAAATGCCTTGTTGATGCTAGAGGTCAGAGGAGAATGGGCCGACTGATTCAAGCTGATAGAAGAGCAACTTTGACTGAAATAACCACTAGTTACAACCGAAGTATGCAGCAAAGCATTTGTGAAGCCACAACACGCACAACCTAGAGGCGGATGGGCTACAACAGCAAAAGACCTCACCGGGTACCACTCATCTCCACTACAAATAGGAAAAAGAGGCGACAATTTGCAAGAGCTCACCAAAATTGGACAGTTGAAGACTGTAAAAATGTTGCCTGGTCTGATGAGTCTCGATTTCTGTTGAGACATTCAGATGGTAGAGTCAGAATTTGGCGTAAACAGAATGAGAACATGGATCCATCATGCCTTGTTACCACTGTGCAGGCTGGAACACACACACATATTATTTATATATATATATATATATATATATATATATATATATATATATATGTGTGTGTGTTTCAATTTTTCCATTTCCCATGACGTTCTGTTACTGAAATTTCCAAAAAATACATTTAATTCTTACTGTACTTACCTCCAGTGATATCTGTCCAGGCAGACAGTTCTGGTTTTATTTGCTCAGAGTTTGAGATACTACCGCCACGTAGCTCCAATGCCTTTACTGCCACAAAGTACAATGGAATGGGATATCATTAGTCAAGACTATTTTATTTGTAAAGCACATTTCATATACAGGTAAACTCCTGATAATCCACGGCCTTTTTCGGTGAAGAGTCTTTTTAAAATGCAATATTTAAACAAGTTTAGCTGCTGAAGCACAACATGTTATGTTTTACTATGATGATGTTGCACTATGTTAGTAGGTAACAGGTGCAAACAAATAATAAGCTAAAAATACATAAAATGTTAGGTGACTACAAGGTGTTTGTATTACTTAATAATTTTGGAGCACATATTATATATGTGTGTGTGTGTTTAAATTTTTCCATTTCCAATGACGTTCTGTTACTGAACCATCTACCAAAAACTTTGATGGCAAATCGCTGACACTCAATGACAAGATAACAGAAAGGGTCAATTTGTTTTTGAAGACAATCAACACATCATAGTGATTATTTCATTGCCGGCTGATTTTGTTGCTCAATGGTATATGGCAAATATGGAATATTATGCAATAAAGAACATATACTGGCATTTACAATATATTTTATGCTGGAAAGCTAGGGTGTTTTCAAGTGTGCAACATTTATGTTACAGTTGTGAAAGTTATGCACTCTACTAATAACATGTACTAAATATACACAGAGGAACTAGATATTTAGGTAACATACTATAGATAAAGTTATAGTATGTTACCCTTCTCACCCTTTTCTTCAGTTTGTGTCTGGATGTCAAAGGCTACAGGACCTCTGATGGTAAATCCAAGATAAAAGGAAACTTGGGGTGATTTCCAGAGGCTGTTTTGCAGGTTTGCATCCACCTTAATCGCTGTGCCACCAACAGTTGCATAGACTCTGTAGTTTCGTACCTCCCCATCAACTTTGAGAAGGCGTTTTTGGACCTCGGGATCTTTAAAAATCTTCTCATTGTTCCAGTTGTCTTGCATTGTTTCCTTATTCTGCTTAAGAACCAATCCCTCGAGGACCTTTCTGTGAACAATTCTGTTCATATCTTGACCTTTTCCAATGGAAAACAGAGGGCGGAGGTACCTTGACCGAAAGTGTGTCTTATATGCATGGTCATACGAGCAGCGCATACACTGAATTAACTGACTAAGGTCAAAGACACATTTCTCTTCAATGTCTGTTGGCCAGTACAAGAGGAGGGCTAACATGTGGAGTTCAGGTGCGTCTTTGGAGGTCAGTGGCATTTTCTGTCTGAATGCAGTTAAAAACTTGCAATTAGAGGGAAATATTGCTCCCACATTTATTAGCATGATATGAGAAAAGATGTAGTTGACCAGAGCTGTTACCGAATCTTTGTATAGAACAATTTCTTCCCACCATGTAGTGACTTCTTTAATCTCTGATTCAGTGTATTCTCTGTCAAGACATGAGAGTACTCCAGCAGAGGTGTCTGCCTGGTTTTGTTTAAGCTTCTGGATGAGATCAGCACCTTTTGTTTTAAATGTTTTGGTGGAGATTCTCCGACATACTTCCTGTAGCAGTCTGAGGTGTCTCTAGAAATGTACAGGGCATCGTCTTTCTTCATGTCAGGCTTTGAGTAGGTCAGAAATTTGTCAAAAAAGGCACATTTTCTCTCAACCTCGTCTCTGAGACTGTTAATGAGGTCGTTAAATCTAGAGTTTGTTGTCTCCAAGTAATCCCAGGACAGAGCCCATGGACACCTTCTTTGTGAGAACTCCTCTCCAGGTTTGGTTTTGACGAACAAGTAGGTCAAACACAAGGTTGCAAATCTGCAGGTAACCAAACTGCCCTCTGGTGTTAAAAGTATGTGAGACTTTAGTGTTGCCATCTTCTTTCATGTCTGTCCCATGTTCATTTTCAGCAAGTTCTTCTTCATCTTTGAAAGCTTCAATGGCTTTTGTGGCCAGTTGCAAAATTGCTCTCGGTTTGACAGGACGCTCTTTGTTCTTCAAACAGTTCTTGTAGACTTGTCCCAGTGTATCAGCAACAAATGAATTCTGGGGATCTCTTTCCTTTGCTCGCTTTGCCCACATTTCTGCCTTATTGTAGTCTTTTAGTTCTATATAATAGAAACGAGCAAGTGCCTGAGGATAAAATGGATTTTGATCAAATTGTTTTGTTGCCACCTTTAAAACTGATGCACTCTGGTCATTGCCCTCCATCTTTTGAATGTCAAGAATCAGTCTAGAAAATCTTTCTGGGTCCTCTTTAATATCTGTGCTAATGATCGGGTTCTCTTCATGTTTCATTTGTTTTGGTCTTCTTTTGGTTAACATGTCTTTGACAAAACCAAGCAAAGATGGAGGAACCTCATCGCTGCACAAACAGGTCAGGAGGTTTCTTGTTGTGTCACTTCTGGTCACACCTGCCTCAGCCATCATCTCAGTGCAACACTTTGCTATCATAGGGTGAGCCATGCAGACTCTTTTTTCAGATCTGGTATCTTGTTGGAAGGTGATGATGAGATCACTAAAGGGCTTCATTCTGTCCTCCAATGAAAGGTCTCCATGGATGGAGTCTTCACATTTGAATAAGTCCAGGCACTGAGATCCAGGAGATATGAGCCTGGTACATAGGCATTCAGCAGGGACAGGAAGGCAGCAAGCTGGGTCTTCTGTGATTTGTTTTGCTCTCTTGATTGTTTTGAACACAGCACAGGCCTCCTTGATGTAAGCCTGGGAGAAATTAGTTTGTATTATGTTAAAGCCATGGAACTTCTTTGATTTATCACCGTATTTTCTGCTGAGCTCCTCCTTTTTCTCATTAAACTTTTGCTTCTCTGACTCAGAAAGCACTTCCTGTAGGAAAACATTGTCACTCTGTAGAAGTGCATCCTTTCTAATACAGCTGAGGAAAATCACTACAGGCATATTGGTGACTATCTCCTGTTCAGCAATCTTCATCATAATTTTTTCTTGCAGATCATCCAAATTCTGCTCATCCTTCAGTAACAGCAGCACAGTGTTCAGGCGGCCTTGACTGCCAGCTGTGAAAAGGTGGACCACCTCCTCTGCAACATCTGTAATGTTTGAGGTTGAGCCTGTTAAAGCAGCACACCTGAAGGTTTTCCGCAAGTCCCCAACACCTGCATGGCCAATGTGGTTCCCCCACATCCTGGCTGGTGGAACAGTTTAATAGTTGTTGTTTCACGTTGTTTTCCTCTTTGGCGAATTTGATGCACAAGTGTATCATATCCATCTCGTTTAATAAAAGGGCTTCCAGTGCCATCTGACTCTGCCTGTTCACTTATGTGAAAGTTTAACCATTCAGGCGGGGCTCCTCGGTAAAAGTTTTCCTCCGTCTGCTCAAGATATTTTGGATGGAAAGACTCTCCTTCAAAATGATTTGCATAAAGAAAATCCAAGAGTGAGAGGGAATCTCTGAATTCGCTTCCCACGTAAATTCCACGACTTCCAGCAGTGGACAGGGCTGGTCTGCTGGCCATCTTGGACTTTCAGTTTCCTGTAGCTACTATATCTATAAATAAAAGAAAGCCATATTTTAAATCAGAGGGTTTGTAGATTTTGCTTTTTACATACAAAGCAGATCAACACACAGCAGGTTTGTGTTAAAGTCCAAGAATTTATAACTTTAATTAAAATTAACTGAGGTGAAAAGGTGCCACATGACCCATGCAAAAGACACAAAAGAGTGAAACACGCCTGCATGTGTGCTGACTGAGCAGGGATTAAAGTTAAAAACAAAGATTTGGTTATTGTTGTTTTAGTTGACTACTCTGTGAATTACACGCAGACAGAGACACCCACGCCGACTTCCGAAGAAAATGTATTCGGGCAGCCCTAATTTAGGCCTATAAAGGTTTTGTAGGCTATATGATGTAGCCTATGATGTAAAGCCTTGATGTCCCAAACTGCCATTGATATGTGATGTGGTTTTGGTGACACCGCACTGTATGAGGGAAGAGCGCCCAGATTAACCTGTGACACAGCTTCGTACCATCGATCACGTTTATATTCCGCTATCTTTGCCATCGTTACCAACATCGGCTTGCCAGTCAACATTTGTATCACGTATCGTTATTTATCTGACGTCGATCTGACCTGAGAACAGTTTGTCACAGTAAGTGATGTTTAGGCTGAATTACACTCCGCCCGAACACAGCGTGGAGTCAGCTGTGGCCACGGTACATGCTCAAATTAACTTCTGATACAACAGCTGTGTCGCTCATGTCACTCACTCATTTAGCAAACACACACATTGGAAGCAGGGGGTGGTGTAGGCTACATACGATGTCTGTGCTCACTACTGGTGTGTGAGTAGGATGAACAGAGATTAGGCCTACAGTATGCAAATAAAATATGAGAGAATCACTGTAGCCATACAATATAAAGCTGGACAACATATTTCAGAATTAATAGCTGTATAATTTCCTACCTGTCACTATTAAGACCCACCAAAATCAAATCCTTAACAATGGCTACACACCAGCTGCGTTGTCACAACACAAAACGCACTTTCCACAGTTCCAGTTAAACTGGCTTATCTTTCCTGAGCTGCAGTTTATAAACACCATTGCCCATTGGCGTTAAACAAACGAAATAAAAAGTTGTATTTCACTTTTTTAAAGTCACACACACAGCGCTGGAAGACACAGCAAGAGATGCGCTGCCAAGTTAACGTTACCAGTTAACAGACAGATTCACTGCAAACACATGTAACGATACAGTTAAGTAGGCTATTGTTATTTGCTGACATCAAACTTGGAGAGGAGAGCACAAGTTTACCTGGCTATGTTGTTCCCCGATTTTCTCTTATGGTGTTTTGTTTGTCTTTTTCGTGGCCAACAAGATATTTCTGCTTTCGTCTTCTAAACCTTGACACCCGCTTTGATCCGAGGGGGAGGTGGGACTTAGCAACTGACAGTCCAAATGCCAGTCCCTTAAATGTTGACTGGTGTTTTTTTTCTTCTGTATATTGGCCTATCACTGACAACGCCTTGATTTTCTAAGAACTAGGTATAAACTGACTTGTCCCTATCGTTTCCATCTTGTGAAAGATCGTTGTGTTTTCACATCCAATATATACAGACATAGGCTATATACGTATATATGTGTGTATATACAGATTTTCTAAAGCACTGAGGCGTAAGAGTGGATAAACAACACTTATGTAAACGAAAACCTTAACAGAGGCTTTAATCAGTATGAATCTAGTGTTTTTTTCCACACAAAGATAAATCATTTTTTATTGGATCCTAAACCTTCAATGAGAGACATCACTGTCTTGTTTTAAAATGAAAACACTGTTTAAGGATCTTTTCGTGTCATTCTCATGAACCTAATATTGCATATTGTAATGTCTCGCAAGCTAAGTGTCCCTATGTCCCCACCACTTTCTAAACAGTCTTTCTACACAAGTGACACCCTTGTATTTCACATCATTTGATTCGCATCTACATAATGTGAAACCTGACTAGAGTGACTGCAGTGAAATGCCACACCCAAGGTAGGTGGGTACAACTGCAGACAGGTACACAGGTATTTGTATAGTTGTAAAATGAAAGTGCCAGACAGTTTGTGACCATACAATTTAAGAACACTAAGGAGATCATTTTGTCTCAATTTTTTTGTGTGAACAGATTCACAATCTCCTCCCACAAATACAAAAAGATTTGTAAATTCATAAAATAAATAAATGTATTAATAATAAATAATATCGGTGAATACAGTAAATTAATTTACAAAAACTTAGGTACATACTTGTGAATCACAGTTCTACACTGATGGATTTGCATTTTACACACATGGAATATTGAGACAAACTTTCTGTCAGTCCAAAGGAAAGTCCACTCGTATAGCTTGGCCCTTTTGGATGTGATCACCTGCTGATGACATCATTTTCAATCTCAGAGTGTATTGAATCTCTGCATCCAGTGTTTTGAGAGTTAATGACGGTGGGAACAGGCTCAACAGGTTTGTAAGTCAGGTTGCCAGATAACTTGGTCATGAATTTGAACATGCACTCAATGTTCACATGTGATGTTCTGCTCGTAACATCACAGTAGGTCAGTTTTC